CCCTAACCCTAACCCTAACCCTAACCCTAACTGAGCCACCAGTGGAAGTCCCTTGGGCTCCCCTACCAGAGTGAGAGCGATGCCACAGGACTTGATCATTAGCCCCCTTCCTCTTCCTCCCACTTTATCCTCCTCCCCCCTAGCTCTATATCCATACCCCTACCTACTCTGCACCATCTTAGAATGTAAATAATAATTAATTTTTAAAAAGTTAAAAATAAAAACTTTTTTACTGTAGTACTTAACCACCATTCACATATTGTATAACCTACTTACTACTTATTTTGTTTATTGTTCATAATCTGTCAATGTCTGTTCAAATGTAAGATCCACCAAAAAAGGATCTTTAGGGGTCGGCCCGGTGGCGCACTGCTACAGTGCGCCGCTTGGGAGCATAGCGGCACTCCCGCCGAGGGTTCGGATCCCACATACAGACCGGCCGCTCACTGGCTGAGTGAGATGCGGGCACAACACCGAGGGTTGCGATCCCATTGCCAGTCCCGGTCCGGTACGGGCGCGACACTGAGGGTTGCGATCCGTTACCGGTCACGAAAAAAGACAAAAAAGGAAAAAAAAAAAAAAAAGGATCTTTATATGTTTTGTATATTGCTGTATCTTGAACATCAAAAGAAATTCCTAGTATACAATCGGTGTGTATTCAATATTAGTTGAATGGGCAGGCAGCCCCCACTGCATGGCAGAAGGAGGAGCATGCTGAAAACACCAGTTCCACAAGAGTAGTACACAACAAACACTGCCATTACCACCTCAAGGGCACCTCGCCACCAAAGTAGCAGCCACAACCACCATTCAGGTGGCCCGCCACCTACCTGACAGAAGGAGAGTCACCAGAGGAGACCAGAAAAAGAGGAAGTCTCTCTGCTGAAAGCCCACTCCAGAGTAATAAAAGAAGCAACAGCTCTACAAGATGACCAGACATTACTGTAGAGATACTAGAAATATGAATACCCAAGAAAATATGACACCACCAAAATAATATAGTAATCCTCAAGTACCGGACTCCATAAAGCAAGAAACCCTTGAAATGACTAAAAAGGAATTTCCAAATTTCGAGCAACTATCTTAAGGAAACTCAATGAGAAATGAGAAGATTCAGCAAGACAACATAATGAAATGAAAAAAACCCTGGTGAGCAAAAAAGAAAAAAAGAATTTCAAAAAATGGAAAAAATCTAACAGAGCCCACAGACAACAGTAAGTGTACAAACATCCGAATCATGGGTGTTCCAGAAGGGAGAAGAGAGGAAAAGGCATTGGGAACCAATTCAACAAAATAACAAAAGAAAACATTCCAGGTATAAGGAGAGATATGGACTTTTGGAGATATTTGAGCTTCCTGGATCCAAACAGATTCAAAGATCCTCTCCGAGACACATTATAGCCAAACTGGCAAAGCTCAAAGACAAAGATAGAATGCTAAAAGCAACAAGAGAAAAGCGTCAAGTCACCTATAAGGGAGGCCCCATCAGACTAACACCAGACTTCTCAACAGAAACTCTACAGCCCAGAAGAAAATGGAATGACATATTCAAAATACTAAGAAGAAAAAACTTCCAGCCAAGAATACTACACCTACCAATGCTATCCTTCAGAATTGAGGTAGAAATAGTATTTCCAGACAAATAAAAACTACAGGAGTTTACTACCACATGACCAGCCCTGCAAGAAATCCTCAAAGGAGTCCTGCATCTGGAATACAAACAATGATAATCGCTACCATGAAAGAACAAAACAATGATAATCACTACCATGAAAGAACAAAACCCACTGGTGAAACAAAAATACAAACAAGAAAGGGAAAAAAACTAAATCTTACCACCTCAAAAAACCAACAAACATCAAAAACAAACAATAAAAGGGGAAGAAAGGAACAAAAGATAATTCAAACATCCAAAAAAAAATCAAGAAAATGCCAGGAGTAAGACAATACCTTTCAATAGCAACTCCAAATGTGAATGGACTAAATTTCCTACTCAAAAGACACCGACTGTCTGACTGGATTAAAAAGCTAGACCCAACTATATGCGAGTTAACCCCATTGCCACTGCAGACACCACAGATGACACAAAGGCTGCTGCAGCCACCAGCACCACTGTTGCCTCCACAAGGTAACCAGGCTGCCACTGCAGACACTACAGAGTCAACGGAGTCAATTTCAGTCACTGGTGCTGCAGCCACCCACACAAGGTAATCCTGTTGCTGCCAAGGACACCAGATGCCAGGGAGGCAGTTGCAGGCACCGACGCCACTGCCTCCACCATGAGGTAACTCCACTGCCACTGAAGACACCATAGCTGCACAAGTCCATGCTGTAGACAATGCAGCTAAGCAGGAGGCTGCTGCAACCATCACTGCTACAGTTGCCACCAACACCAGCACCTACAGGTAGCCACGATGGTCATGCAAGCAGCCCGACAAAGCCACCTCCACAATCAACACCACCGCAAGAGCAGCCTGCTACCACAGCAGCAGCTGCAGCAGCCACTGCCACTACTATACACACAGACTGCCAACCACGCCAACAAACTAACACAAAGAGGGTACTTGTTTTCAATACTAGTTTGTGAGTATCTGTAATTACTTCTAAGTGAAAGAATTTTAGTAGTATTTAAAATCAAAGTTATCAATACCATTTTTTCCCTTTTCAATAATATTAACAAGAGAAAGAGCCTGGATTCCTGAATATTGTAACTAAAGAGTTACAATAGTGATAGGGTCAGTCCTTTAACAACACTACCCAAAACACTGTAAGGAAACATCCTTGAAACAATAACTGCTCAGAATACTATTTCCAATGATAGCTACTCACACTTTTTAATCTTTACTCTGGTTCTTCAGTTCCATTAATGCAAAATCAGATAACACAAAACAGACAAAATAGTCCATTCATTATTTCCTCAATTTACTTTTACCTTTTAATTCTTTCACTCTGAAATTTTCCTTCCTTTTACCCCTCTATTCACCTATGTACTTTCTTCCCTTTTCTTTCCTACCACAGAATTTTCTTTCTTTGAATTCTTCTCTTTCTGTTCTTTAAGTGTAAACCATATCTTCATATTCCCTTTCCTCCTTTTCTCATCATATGATGACACATAAAAAACCTGTTTCCCCTCCCCATTATGACGAGCACATGATACAAGAGACATAGATTTCTAAGTCTAATTATTGACCCTACAAACATAATACAACTTTTCAGAAAGTCCAAATAGATATGGCTTTTTCTTATATCTGCAAATAGAATCATTGGTTTACATTTGCCAAACTCAGCCCCACTTATTGAAAAATAAAGATGAGAACCTTATCAATGAGCGTGTAACCATCCACAAAATTATAAAATGATTAAATATTGACGTATCTGTAATAATTAATATATGAGAGCTTCACTACATTACTGACTGCAAAAACAAATACAAAACCCAAAAATATCAGATCCTATGCAAAAATACAATAAGATTTTAAAGGAAAATATAAATGAAATATATGAGAGCTTCACTACATTACTGACTGCAAAAACAAATACAAAACCCAAAAATATCATATCCTATGCAAAAATACAATAAGATTTTAAAGGAAAATATAAATGAATGTAAAATAGATTACCTTCCTTCATTGACAAGTTCAATAAAAGCAAGGCCTGCATTCTTCTGAATAGAATTCTGCCACTCCTAAAAAAAAAAAAAAAAAGCAAAAAGTAGCTGAAGAAATTTCACTCAGTAGGCTATCTCCTTTAAAACAACAATAATGAAAAACATTATCCATATCAACTTCATATCTTAGTTCTTAAAATAAAAGTTCTGTTAAACATGCTATGTACCCAACACAGGCCCATGAACACATAAACAGTTGATACTGAAAAGTATACTAAACACATTAGCAATAATTTGATGCAGTGTAAACTAAATGAGCTTATCTATATTTAACTTGCCCTTTTTGTTCTATAACATTATATACTAACTTAACTGAAATAGTTGGGAATTGGGAAAGAAGGCAGCAAAAAAAACCAAAGACAGATACAAATTTTTTTGTAGTTGTTTTTTTAAAGGTATCCCACCCACCATAAAGAGAAAAGAGAATTAAGAAGTTCAATAACCTTAATAACTACAGCATATTTTACCATAAAATCTGATAATTAATATTTGACAAGGAGTCAAGAAAGTCAAAACTGGGACTAGACCAGTTTTGAGCTGGAAAACTGTAATTCATTGATCAATGAATTTGCAATAACTGGCATACATCTATTAACTATAATCTTTATTCATTAAAAATTTATCCATTAAACTTTACCCACTAAAAAGATATCCATTAAAAAGCCTAGAAAGGGGCTGGCCAGTTAGCGCACTTGGTTAGGGTGTGCTGCTGATAATGCCTAGGTCCACAGTTTGATCCCCATACTGGCCAGTGGCCAACGAAAACAAAACAAACATAAAAACCAACAACAAAAAGTGTAGGAAGGAAATCAATCAGTAGAGCATATGTACAAATAAACTTTCTAATCCTTACCTCAAAACATATATAAAATAGCATTGATACAATAAAGGCTTGCATGAATTTAAATATACATAGATTTGAGACATGCCAATGAATGCACCCATGTGCATATGTGTGTGCCAGTGTGCATGCCTATGTGTATACCTGTGTATATCTATATAAACACACACATGTGCACAGATTTTTTTTAAAAGAAAATATACATGAGAGTGCATTTAAAAGTTCATGGAAAAATCAAATTAAAAGATAATATGAATCTTTTCATGAACATTTTGAGGCACCGTCATATATAATCTTTATGTTCCTTAACACTAAGGAGCCCCTTGTATTCTAACTACATAATACTCCTCAACTGATCTTTTTTTCCTTTCAGAAAACCCAAAACAAAAAGCCATGTTCATCTACTTACCATTGCTCACCACAAACAATATTCATATTTTCTGAATGTAATAACTTTAAAAGTTTTTAATTCCACGTAATTTCACACTAATAACAGTTCTGTTCTACAACAAAAAAACTTTTTTTTTCAGCCTTATCCTTTCTCTTCTACTTTCTCCTTTTAATCCCTACTTTTGAACTAACTGCTTTTGTGCTTTCAAAAACAGAACATTGCTCTCAAGACTAAAATGACTGAACACCATGATTTTGTTAAAGGGTTCTATTTTATGAATAGTGTCAGTATGGTCATACTAACAGAACATATACAGTAGAATGAATATTTTTTTTTAAAAGACAGACATTGGAAGGTAGTCACTGGCTAGATCTAGCAAAGAAGAAAAAACAATAGATGGTTAAGAAAGAGCAAGAGACAAGAAGTCATAAAACCCATGTTCTTGTTCTGATTTTGACACTAACAGGATATGTCCTCGGACAGATCATGCTACATATTCAGGTCTTAGACAGTTTATTTAAAAAGTTTCTAGCAGGTATAGCATTTTATTATTCTATAATTTACTAACATTTAGAAATTAGTGACTCGCAAGTCCACAATACATTCTCCCTCAAAAATCATAGTTGCCATCCAACTGAAAATGTAAAATAGAGATCCTAAATTCCTTCCACTGAAGTACCAAATCAAGTATAAAACAAATATATCAATCTAGTTTTAAACACTTTTCTATCCATCAAAATAAAATGAACAGACAGGTAGTCCAAACAGAAGCAATCAAATCCCATGAAAGAGTATATCCCTGAAAAAAGGGTACGCACCATGCCTTCCTCACCTCATAGGGTAGGAGGAAGATGGCTAAAGCAGAAACTGAAGATATGATTTTTATTCCTAGTGTAGAGGGTCCCACACTTCACTTCCCAGGCACAGCACAGGGGATACCAAGCCTCAAAAAGTTACCCTAAACCTAGTAACAAACAGGAAGAGTAAAATACAGACAAATTTAATGGCAGATGAACCTAAAACATCCTCAAATTGTCTCATGCCCTAATAAGAGTCAGAAAATTATCCTAGAATGATGCAGAAGTAGCTTAGGATTTAAGGGGATGAAAAGAACTACGACCTTTGTAGATAAACAGCAAGTTCTCAGAAGGGACTGTGATACTTCAAGGGATGCCACAGCCAGGGAACAGAAGCATATGCTCATTCCTCAGATCTGAGACCCAATATAGAACTCTTGGAAAGCCACTTAAAAATCTGATACAACACCAGAGAATGGGAAGGTGAGACCTTAAGTTGAGTGAGTTTTCATTTAGATCATTTAATTTAAGGAAAATCTTAAAATGGACATTAACTTTGGTAAAAGAAAAAAAATTAAGTTACTGTTCTTGCTAGAAAAAAAGAAATCAATAATAAAGGAGTCAGGACTAGTATTCTGTATATAAATCTTTAGCTTAGTCATTTTGTTTTTAAAACTACCTACTATCAGAAACAAGGCAAGGACATCCTCTCTCACCATTGCTTTTCAACATCATTCTGGAAGTCCTGACTAATGCAATAAGACAAGAAAATAAAAGGTATAAAGATCAGGAAAGAATAAATAAAACTGCCTTTGTTTGCAGATGACATGATCATCAATACAGAAAATCTAAAAGAACTGACCAAAAAGCTCCTAGAACTAATAAGTGATAAATAAAAAGGTTACAGTATGCAAGGTTAATATACAAAAGCCAACCACTTTCCTATATAGCAGCAATGAACAAGTGGAATTTAAAATAAAAAACACAATTCTATTTCTATTAGCATCACAAAAAATGAAATACTTAGGTATAAATCTAACAAAATATGTATACAGAAGATCCATATGAGAAAAGTTACAAAACTCTGATGAAAGAAATCAAAGTAAAACTAAATAAATAGATATTCCATGTACATAAATAGGAAGATTTATATCAGTTCTTCCAAAATTGATCTATAGATTCAATGCAATTCCAATCTAAATCCCAGCATGTTATTTTGTGAATATCAATTTTTTTTTTTTTTAATTTGGCAGCTGCCTGGTACAGGGATCAATCCCTGGACCCTGATGTTGTCAGCTCCGTGCTCTAACCTGAGCTCTAACCAGAACTGAACGGCCCGCCCAACAGACTGACTTTAAAGTTTATATAAGGATGCATAAAACCCAGAAAAGCCCACACAGTAGTGAAGGAAAAGAACAAAGTTGAAAGACTGACACTACCTGGCTGCAAGACTTACTATAAAGCTATAGTATCATGACAGTATGGTACTGCCAAGAGAATAGACAAATAGATCGATGAAATGGAATGAAGAGCCCAGAAACATACCCATATAAATACAGTCAATTAATCTTTGACAAACAGGCAAAGACAATACAATGAAGAAAAGATAGTCTTTTCAACTAATGTTCCTGGAACAACTGAACATCCACATGAAAAAATGAATCTAGAGACAGACCTCAAACCTTTCAAAAACATTAACCCAAAACGGATCATAGACCTAAATGTAAAACAAAAAAGTAGACAACTCTTAGAAGATAACATAGGGGAAAATCTAGCGGACCTTGGGTTTGGCAATGACTTTTTAGATATGACACAAAAGGCACATTCCATGGGGAAAAAAAATAGGACTGGTAACCTATAATCAGTGAAGTTAATAATTTAACTTCATTAAAATCAAAAATTTCTTCACTGCAAAAGACACTGTTCAAGAGAATGAAAAGATAAGCCACAGACTGGAGGAAAATACTTGCAGAAGACATATCTGATAAAGGACTGTTATCCAAATTATACAAAGAACTCCTAAAACTCAACAACAGGAAAACAGACCCTATTAAACCACGGGCTAAAGACTTCAACAGACACCTTACCAAAGAAGATATATATATGGCAAGTAAGCATATGAAAGATCCTCCAAATGATATAGCATTAAGGAAATGAAAATTTAAACAACAATAAGATACCATTACATACCTATTAGAATGACCAAAATCCAGAACACGAACATTACCAAATGTGAAGATGTGGAGCAACAGGAAATCTTATTCCTTGCTGGTGGGAATGCAAAATGATACCACCACTTTGAAAGATAGTTTTGTGGTTCCTAATAAAACTAATTGTGATCCTTGGTATTTACCCAAAGGAGTTGAAAACTTATGCCCACTTAAAAACCTGCACAAACAGATTTATAGCAGCTTTATTCATGATTGCCAAAACTGAAGCAACCAAGATATCCCTTAGAAAGTGAAGGGATAAATTAAACTGTAGTACAACCAGTCAATGCAATATTATTCAGTGCTAAAAAGAATGAGCTATCAAGCCATGAAAACACATGGAGGAAACTTAAATGCACATTACTAAGTGAAAGAAACTAATCTGAAAAGACTATATACACTGTACAATTTCAACTATACATTTTGGAAAAGACAAAACTATGGAGACAGTAAAAAATTCAGTGTTTGGGCCGAGCCCGTGGCGCACGCGGGAGAGTGCGGCGCTGGGAGCACAGCGACACTCCCGCCGTGGGTTCGGATCCTATATAGGAATGGCCGGTGCGCTCACTGGCTGAGCGCGGTGTGGGTGACACCACACCAAGGGTTGTGATCCCCATACCGGTCACGAAAAAAGACAAAAAAAATAAAATAAGTGTTTGCAGAGGTTAGAACAAAGAGAGGAATGAATCAGCAGAGCACAGAGGATTTTTAGGGCAGTGAAACTACTCTGTATGTACTAAAGTGGTGAATACATGTCATTATAAATTTGTCTGAACCCA